CCCCCACGCCCACTGCCGCCCCCATCAACAGTCGCAGCAAATAGCTGCCGGGCCTTCTGCCGCCACCCGTCACCCCGCTGCATCGGTGCGAGACTGCGCGGGAGGGGATCATGCACAAAGTGCGCAGCCACCGCCGCGTCCATTTCCTGCAGCCATTTGCCAAGGATACTCTCCATCCTTACAGCGGCAGCGTGCACGCTTCACAAGAGGAACCGAGTGCCTCCGGCCGCAACAGCAGCGGCCAGTCAGGCGCCTTCAAGCTGGTGCCCTTCCTATGAAAGACAATGAACGAAGCAGCCAACACTTTCACAACACAGTGCGAGATGCCACAGCTAACAGATTCCACCTTGCAGGACAAAAAACCCTTCATCGAGTCACGTCAAACTGTGAGCACCCAGGGGAGTAACACACCAAGACATGCTTAAAATAAACATAGATAGATAGATCAACTTACACGAGGTATGCCTTTTTTTTTTGCTGTCGAACAAAACGGTCTGTAAACATACCGCTACGCTTTCAATCACCAATTCCATTCAGAACGCATTAATGCTATTTATTTGCCGCCTATATCTCCACACAGTCTACTTTCCACACGCCTAAGAGAATCATCCATATATCGGGCTCTCTGAAAGTACAAAACACTCCTCCCCAAAGAACAACAAAATCAGTTGTTTTTTTTCTTTTTTTCGTTTACAGCCCCCCAGTGCAAAAAAAAAAAGGAATTGTTTAAGGACATCTCAAGTGGTGTAAAAAATATAAGAGTTTTGACTCATTATTTCTTCTTTGCATCCTCCCGCCCACGTTTGTGGGCTCTCCACAATTGCTGCATGTCCCCCCGCTTTATCCTTCGGTTATTAAAACTCATTCTCGTGAACCAAATCAAAACAAAACAAACAAACACAACCCGGCTTGTGGCCTCCAAAAGGAAAACAAAGGTAAAAAAAAGCATTACTATTTGTGCATGACCATGCGAGCGCCACAGGAACACAGAAAATATACTACTAAACAAGAGATAGCAACTCACAACACACTGCCTGATGATTTCCTCCCGCCTTCCATTTCTGCCTCCATGACATTCTGCCCCTTCGAAAAGTAGTAACCCCAGATGCAGGAGCCGCGGAACATGATGTAGATGGCCAGGCCGAACATCAGCCCCCCAACGAAGAAGCCAATGCCAAGCATCAGGGTTCCCGTCTTCAGGTCGTTGCACATTGATAGTGCACCAAGCAGTTCGTCAATCACGAAGTTGCACTCGAGCAGCGGCTTGGCGTACGCAACGGCGATGCTCGCGTTGCGCGACTGCGCAGCAACAGTCAATATTCCGGTCGCAATCTCCTTGGTGCGGTTACCCCTGCAGCTGGCGGNCCTTCGAAAAGTAGTAACCCCAGATGCAGGAGCCGCGGAACATGATGTAGATGGCCAGGCCGAACATCAGCCCCCCAACGAAGAAGCCAATGCCAAGCATCAGGGTTCCCGTCTTCAGGTCGTTGCACGCTGTCACTGCACCAAGCAGTTCGTCAATCACGAAGTTGCACTCGAGCAGCGGCTTGGCGTACGAAACGGCGATGCTCGCGTTGCGCGACTGCGCACCAACTTCCATGATCTTCATCGCAATGTTCTTCACAAACTCCACCTTGCAGCTGGTGGCACATTCGGCCAGCGAGCAGGACTCACCAGGAGTTGGGCATGCCATCGTGTAGCTTTTTACAAGGGTGCTCCCCAGCACATCGGCCACGGTGCCAAAGTCAGGGCACTGGCTGGCTGCAGTGATGCCTCCGCCGCACTGGAGCGGCTTGAAAGAGAAACCTGGCTTATTGTCGCACACTGAGAGAAGTGTCTTGCAAGCTTCCATAGAATTATTCAATTCGGCCTCAGCAACCTGCTGGTTGATGGCCCTGAAGTCGAACGTTTCCTCACAGTACGGCACAAAAAACCACTGAAAGACACCTGGCTGCCGTTGGTACTGCAGCTCTATCTCGCCGCACCCAGCCGTGGAGACGAACGCCAGCAGAATGCAGGCAACACCGAGCAGCGCAAACACAGCCCCGAAGATCCAGTACGCGCACGAGAGGAAGAGTGGCAGGCACGGAATGCAGCAGCGACACAAGGCGAACGGCAGTATCAGGAGCATTAGCACAATCGCCACCCCACCAACAGCGTACGACACGATCGGCACCCAGTTAATGTATTTGTCCTTTTCTGTCTTCACACTTGTAAGAAGATCCGTCACATTGTCAGTGACCTCAGTAAAGGCACTCAGGTCCAAGTCGATGCCCTCCAGCGGCTCACGCACACCCGTAGTCCAGTTCGACGTGAAATCAATGATGTGCTCTGCCGTGTTGTTGAAGAACGTCACAGGGCCACTCAGCGTGTCATCGATGAGACTGGAGGCTGATGACGCCAGAAGCTCAGCGCCGAATATCACGAGGACGGTGACGGCACCGCTCCAAAGTAAGGCATAAATGATCCACATCCAGATGCAGCAGCGGGACCGGTCCCCGCTCAGCTTCGAGGTAGGCTTGCAGCCTCCACAGCAGGCGACGCAGAGAAAAACGATCGGAAAGGTCAGCAGTATCACCAGGAAGAGCAGCGCGCTGAATGCAGGGAACACGTAGTAGCGCCACTGTCCCTTGATGTGGTCCGGGTCCGACAGGCAATCCAGAATACTGTTGTTGGCGCTGGGACCCTCCCACACGGTTTGACACTCAAGTGAGCGCTGGGCGGATGTCACGGCGGGCATGGCCGCAAGCACCACCAGCAGCGCCACCGCTGCAAGGGCCGCTGTCTTGCTGGGGCGGTCAAGGTTCCTTCCGGAGACTTTCGTTGGTTGTGAGCTTAGCGCGTCTTGTGTGGAGATGAAACAAATCAAGGAACAACGTGCGAGAAATACAATCAGGAGCAGCATAGGGCGCCACATGGTGCACAGCCCATATCCTGTTGAAAACAGGACTGATACAGTCTTCCTCTTCTAGACGGGCTGAANGGCCGCTGTCTTGCTGGGGCGGTCAAGGTTCCTTCCGGAGACTTTCGTTGGTTGTGAGCTTAGCGCGTCTTGTGTGGAGATGAAACAAAACAAGGAAAAAAAAACGTGCGAGAAATACAAACAGGAGCAGCATAGGGCGCCACATGGTGCACAGCCCATATCCTGTTGAAAACAGGACTGATACAGTCTTCCTCTTCTAGACGGGCTGAACATTAATAATATTCCTCCGCCAGCAGTAATTCTGTGAGGCGGACGTACACATCCCTCTGTGTAGTTGTTAGGCGACGTATGTCCATGTCTGCGTCGCAGGCTTCTCGGCCCTGATTCTTCAGACGCCTCCAGAGATTGAGAAGAGAGCCGTACTTGCGGGCAAGCTGCACCGCAAGCCCTGATGAGCAGCCGCGGATACACATCAGTACGCGTGGGAAGGTGGTGCGAGCCCGAAGTTCCCGTCGCAGTTCCGCCACGTGACGCATACAAGCCGTGCTGTCCGCGAGCAATGGTCGTTTGCCGATTCCCACCGTGGTTGGCGTCAGTGCCGTGACGTAGGCGGCGGCGAGACTTCGTAGCCACACGATCGTTTCCGCGAGATGACGTGTTCGCACGACGCAGAAGCGTGGCACAGCGGCGAGGGACGCGCACGCCGAAAGCACGCGGCGGTGCTCTTCCGGACGCAGCTGCTGTGTGGTGCCCTCCACCACCCACACCACAGAGCGAAATGGGGAAGCGGAGAGTAGGCGACGCTGCTCATAGTAGCGTGGAGTCGCAATGCTCGCGCACAGGTCCTTCACTGTTTTGCGCTCCACCACGACAGAGAAGATGCGCTGCGCCTGCCCGCCTGAACCTTCTGCAAAGATAGAGCTCGCGCTAAAGGAGTTGCTGCCTTCTCCACCCATCGGTTGAACGCTTGTGCCACAAGGTGCGTCGATACCGATCATGAAGTCGCCACAGGGCAGCGCACACGACACGGTGGGCACACCAGCTGCTGTGAATGCCTCGATGACGTGGTCGTGGGTACCACGAATGCGCTCGCGGTTATCAACGAGGAGCCGCCACGAGGAGCACGTGGTGTCGTTTGTTGCTGAAGCGAAAGCAGCGGCTCGTGCGGTACGACCGCCACGCTTGTTGCGCTGCACCAGTGCATCAACAAACTCCTGCGGAGTACCCAATAGTCTGCGCGGGGGTTGTTGTTGCTGCTGCTCTGCTGGAGGTGGCGAGGGCGACTGACTGGTGGCAGATGGTGAGCGGAATGGCGTGCGCAAGCGCTGAGAGTATTCAAACTGCTCCTCATTTGTCAACCCGTAGCGCTTAGTGGCGGCGCTGAGAGCATCCCCAATCATCATTCCACTTGTCTGCTGCTTCTGCTTCTGCTGCCGCTGCTGCTGCTCTTGTTGGGGTTGCTCACCTGTCCGCAGCAACTCCGACGGAGGCCCCGATGGCTGCAAAGAATTGTGTTGGCGCAGCCTGGCGATAAGGTCCTTTTTGGTGCCATTCGTTAAGAGACCCATTGAGGCGCACCTCACCCGCAGCTCCTTCATGCCCAGTCTCTCCTCGACTGGGCGATCATCTTCAGCACGGCGAGTGACTGGCGGCGATGCGCGACGCGCGTGGCCATTCACGCGCTTCTGATGTGAAGAGTCTAACAGCGTGAGGAGAATGTCGGCATCGTCGCTGGCGCTGCCCGTTGACTCCGCCCTCCAGAGCAGCGAGGTGCCCGCCTCCACGCGCCGCATTTTGAAACAGCGGAAGGGCGACACAGCCATCGTCACTCCGTGATCTCGCCTGGGCAACTCGAGTCGCGGAAACAACTGGATTTCTCCGTCCTCCAGCGGTGGTGGTTGGCCGCCGCGATTTTTACCCGATAAGTATGCGTCAACCGCCAGTACCGCATCGGTGCAGCTGCCCTGCAGCGCTGTAGCCGCCGCACCGCATGTGATGGGCAGCGGGTGGCGTCGCAAGACGCCGCAGAAGACGGGGAAGCGATTTGGCCACGTGTGCTCCACATGCAAGGCCAGCTGCTCGTTGTGCGATTGGCTGTTGCTGTTATCCATTGCACACGCACCGTCTTCTCCTTCCTTGCGTTGCTCACCGACCACCGGCGGCACCTAAAATGTGATGACATGCGATTTAGAAAGCCAGAAATGGGAAAGAAACCACACCGTTTGCCCAAGAACTCAGTGATGCGAAATGAGGCCCACCACTGCGAAGACGCCCAGGTGCGTACGCACTGCATGTAAGGCCGCCGCAGACAGAGGGAAAAGAAAAACGAACTTCGAAGCCTGCCACCTTTGCACTCACCCTCCTTACCACTCCTTGACTGGAGCTGTGTGTGGGTGTGTCTTTCCTTCGCACGTAACTCCTGTCCATCCGCCTTCCCCCGGAGCCTACACATTTTAAAGGTAATGCTCTATATTCATAGTGCATAATTAGAAAAAAAAAATCAGGGAAAAGACGGCGCGCAGTTTCTTTTCTTTATATTGCTTCCATCATCATCAGCACCGTTGCCGCATTACACGCGCTCGCCCTTGAGGCCGTCCTTCCAGAAGTAGAAGGAGGGCACCTCGCCGTCCCACTTGCAGAGGACGATCATGCCGTTGTCGGGGTCCTCCTCGTTGCCCTCCGGGATGAAGAACTGGTAATCGTCGATCTCCTTGATGACCTTCTTCACGAAGGCCGCGGCGTTGGCCTGGAAGCTCTTCTTGTCCTCCTCGCTCTCGATGTTCTCCAGCAGGCGCTTCATGTAGCTGCGGATGTGCGCCATGTACGAGCTCTTGTCGTAGCTGGTCTCGGTGTAGCGGTTGTTGTGCACAATGTCGATGACGCGCTGCTTGGAGTTGTCCACGTCGCCCGTCGCTCCCTCGCCGGCGTCCTCGTCCACGTTGGCGGAAATGCCGTAGTCCTCACCGCCGATCTCAATGTAGCGGCCCTTCACAACGTACGCGATGTCGCCCTCAAGCTCCATTGGCTTGTCGTTGTCGCACACGACCTCAGCGTTCGTCAGGACGTCCTTGAA